AATATATATATATATATATCGGCTTTGTTAGAATCACCGTAACTTGTACAGAGATTTTATATTGGACAAGAATGAATCTTTTTTCCTTGTGAAATTACCCAGCATCTTTTTGTTCAATGAATTGTTTTCCATTCATTTCTGCATTGTAAAAAAGCCCAATCTCCCTGTGTGCATAATAGAGAAATTCAGAGCCAGCCAGTTGCTCATGTGAATAGTTGGTTTTCTGTTTCTGTGCCTCAGTGTAAACTCTAACTTGGTTCCCTCCACATGTGTTTCTATAACCCCTTTCACATTGGAAAGATGGGCATTGTATGAGGATGCCTGTACCTGGAGGGCATCAGGCTTGGGAAAATTAATATTTCTCGAGGGTAGAACAGAAACAGATGAATGACTTTCTTGTTTCTTTGGCATTGCTGTACCCTTCTTCAGAAACTGGAATCTGTCTTGAAGAACGATCTGTTGAAATCCCAGAAATGGATTGAGGTTTATTTGGAACAGGAGAAGCAGATGAAAATGTTTAAATCATGCCTAACCATGCAGGAGATATTTAACCAGCACAAAAGCAGTTGCCAGGGGCTGGCATACAAACGGATCCCAGTTCCAGACTTCTGTGGCCTGAAGGAGAAGGTAAGCGCATAGAAATGCCACATCTGCTCTTTGGTGTAGGTGAAAAGCTTCACCTGGCAAGTTTCCCATTCTATATTCCAGCCTTTACTTGACATTGTTTGTGTGTATCTGTGTGTACAAGAGAAAGAGGAGGAGAGAAAGAAGTCAGTTGTGAAACTGTAATGTGTAGTTTGGTCTTAAGATTGTTTCTTTTAACTATGCTTGTTCTTCCTTTCTTCCTTGAGCGTGTCCTGGGGTAGGCAGTTTCACATTGCCAGATTTGCCTGTTTCTGGGAAGAAATTTGTTTGTGGCGTTGTTTACAAACACACAATCCCAAACATATGTTGATACCTTGTCCTGTTTTGTCCAGTTTATGCTTATTATTTGATTTTATTTTTGTAACTCGGTTTGTTCTCACATAAATGCTATATAAATAACATCTATCATGACTACTGCTGCTACTATAAGCACATTGCAGCCTTCTGTTGTTACTGACCCTCAGAAAAAAGATGGGTCCTGCTTGTTTTATTTGAATATTGTTAATGTACTCATGTTGGCCTAGCATTTGGGTACATTCATCTCACTTCAGCTACCAGAAAAACAATTTTCATTCTGAGACTTCAGCTCTGCTGCTTACTTAAGTAACCCATGTTCATGAACATAAATAGGTAGGAAATTTTGAGAAAGTGACCTAATTTGAAGGAAATTGAATTCCCTGATATTCCATGTTCCATAGTCAGAGAAGCTTAATGTATGTGCAACCCATCATTTATGATAGACATTGACAACTGAGGTTGTTTCCTGTGCCACAAAAGTAAATTCTAGGGGCTGGTTTGGAATGATTTTTTTTTTTTTTGTTTTAACCCGCGCTCAGCCGTTACCGACTCTGCAGTGACTGCTTGGACGAGTCCTA